CACTCCCCCAAAGCCCAACTTGAACTACTGCTTTGCCCTGAGTCAAGGGTTTGAGGTGAGTGGCAGATGAGGGAGCTCTAGGAAGCCCCCAGGAAAGCAACTAGTCTGGAATAGTCCTGCTGCGACCCAGCTTTCCAGGTCTATGTCTCCCTCTGAGACTTAACATTAATTTTATTCAATTAAGCATCATGTAGGCAGCAAAACTTGGATGGAGCTAGCCAAGAGATTATTAACTCCATCACTTGAATCACATTTCATCTCCAAATTTCCCTCAATTTGTCTAAGCCAAGAAATTAAGGCACAGATGAAACAGACCCCTGAATTTTTGTAAACTTGATGGGAGATGATAATTGCCTATAAGATAAGAAGTTATAGTTAGTCCTCCCTTTAGAGCAAGCCTCAAGGGAGTTGAGGATCAACCAAGGAACCAGTTCGGAAGGGCTTTTTACCACTGTGTCTCAGGTTGGTAGGAAAGTCCTCTGACAAATATGCTGTAGAATAAGATGGTCAGTCTTACTGCTTGCTTAGACTCTGGCTACCTTTTAAAAGGTAGTGAGTGTCTGGGCATCTTAAAAGTCTGTCTTAAATAGAAGGCCATCTAATTAACTCAAGAAAGGTGAGTCTACAGAAGGGGGCCCTCGTACAGTAATAATCAGTGGAAATGTGTTATCACAGGAGAAATGACAAGTACTTTTAAGTTTGTTTTAAAGGTTTTTGGTCTAACTCTGGTGAGTGGCATAGTCTGTATGGGGTTGCGCTGCTAACTCAAGGACCTCAGGCAATTAGAATCTACCAGAAGTTCCATGGGAGAAAGACAGGCAATCTCTACCCATGTGATTTACAGCCTCTGAAAAGCTATTGGAAGGTCGGCTGTGAGTCAGTTAAACATCGACGGTAATGAGTTTGGGAGTTTGAGTGTTGGTGTAACTAAACTCTGACTGAGGTGTAAGCCCAACTCCACTTGGACAATTTGACCATTTCACAGAAGTAATTTCAGCTTTCAAATTCACAAACATTTGCTTATTAGGTCAAAACTGCAATATATACCCCCCTCCTTTTTTAATGGTCTAGGAAACACCTGATAGCAGTGTAGTTGGAAAAGTCAACTAGTAAGAATGACCTGTAATTCCGAGCTGACCCTCCAGTGGGTTTTCAGAGACAAAGGGAAAAAGAAATTACTTGTAAACAACTGTAGTGGAAATTAACCCACCAAATGCTTGTAAAATAAGTATTTACCTTTTATTTTGTCCAATAAAGAAATCCTTTGTCTCCCTGTATTTTGGAATACTTAGTTTCATTTTGAGACTGCCTGTTTCCTGGTTCAAACTGCCTTCTCCTTAATAAAGGTCTTTGCGTTTTTAATAGTTCTCATCTGTCTACAGCAATGCATACATAATTATAAGCACACATAAAATCCCTTTATATCTTCTGCTCTTTCTGGTACACTTGCTAGGCCTCTGTGTGCTGAAATGTTCCCAGTTTTTGCAGTTTTCTAAGAAAACAAAACCTTATATTTAGTGGTGAGAGGAAAAGGAAAGAAAATTGGGTTTAAAGAGAGACAACTAGCATTCCTGAGTCTTGCCCTACTGCCACGAAAACGAGAGCATTTATGCAGTGGGGCTGAAATTTACATTGTTGGCACAGACAGCAGCTCTATCTGCCCATTCCTGCCTGACAAGACGCCCTTGATTTCACCTCCACAGGCACCTTCTCCAGATGCAGCCTGTTCCTTAAATAGCCTGCTGCCAACGCTGTCCAAGGGGGCAGGCCCACTCTGCTCCACAGAAAGAATTCTGCAAGTATTAAAACTCCTCTCTAGTCTTGGAATCACTCTGCACAAGGAGAGAATGTCAGGCCCGCTTGTAAAACCTGAATGTTTATCATTTCCTAGCTCTACCGGGATTCCCCTCAACCTGTCACTGTTTCCTAGCATGCCATTAGCTATATTCAAGCTGACAAGACCTGTCTCAGACCGGTACTTAAGTTATCTGCCTTCAGAAATATCCCTTTCCTGGTGTTTCCCACCACCCCCCCTCACTTATTCAAGCCCACTACAAATCTGCTTTCAGCGGTGTTCAGTTTTAACCTTTCTTACTGAGGCTATTACCTCTCCCTTCTCCAGATGGTACTCTTTGCTAATAATGCAGGAATCTCTCTGCAATTCAAATTCTTTCCCATCCTATTGTTTTTACTCAGTGAAATCTGGGAAGATTCTATGTCAATCCTGTATATCCTGAAACCCCAACAGAACACTAACCACTATCTGACTATATATCTATATCTATCTATCTATATCTATATCTATCTATCTATCTATCTATCTATCTATCTATCTATCTATGTCTTATTTCTATAAAAGGGAGCCCTGGTAGCCTAGGGGTAAAGAGCTTCACTGCCAATCAAAAGGCACATGGTTTGGATCCATCTACAGCATGAGAGAAAGATGGGCAATCTTATCTCAAAATTTATAGCCTCTGAAAACCTGCTGGAGGGTCAGCTATGAACTGTTTCTGACTTGATGGTAAATAACAATATTTAAGTCTTTATTTTTAAAAAGATTCTTAATGCCATCTGAGGGAGAACCATAGATAATTTCCTCCCGGGACAATTCACAGTCTCTGAAAACCCACAGGAGCATAAGCTACAAGGCCCTCTCAGCTATCAGTAGGTTCCAATTTGACTATAATAAATTGGTCGGTTGGTTGGTGTCTTATCCTTCTACACTGATAGGAGCATTTGTTGTGTGCTTACTGTGTGTCAGCTGTGAGTCAGTTCCAACCCAAAAACCTTGATAACACAGTGGAAGGTCAGCTATGAGTTGATTCTAACCTACTGCCAATAAGACAATGAGAGAGGGAGGGAGAATGCTTAATTTAAAGTTTGTTGGGAAGCATCAAGATACCAAGTAACCAGCAAGCAGCAAGGCTAAGGCTAGCAGATTTCACATCCCACAGGTATAAACCACTATTCAATACCATCTCTGGACTTAGAACTCGACTTTTTATGTGACTTCAACTCCCTATTTAGTTGCTAACCTTGAGTTCTCACCCAGCTCGCATCTGTACATTTTTCTCTGTGGGTCACACACGGTTTCATGGCAAGCCCCTCCGCCAGCTTGTTGTTTTGTACCATCGAGTCAGAATGGCCTCATAGCTGACCATCCAGAGGTTTTTCAGAGGCAGTAAATCGTACTGGAGGAGATTGCCCATCTTTAATCCCTCAGAGTGTCTGGCGGATTTGAACACCTTGCCAACTGGGTTGGCAGCGTAATTTCAGCTCAAGGCCACCAAATGGAGCACTTACAGTCCCAGAAATTTGAATGTCATCAGTTAAAACGGTTTCTTTCTCCTAGTGTTTAAATATGCATAAAATTTATGATGAAATAGTTAAATGAGTCACAAGCACTGAGCCAAAAGATTATATGGAGTCTCTTCCTGGCAGCATGCTATAAGGTTTGGGTCGCCAAACCCACTCCTGCCCAGATTTTCCAGGGGTGTTTCTCCCCGTTTCTTTATTTTTCTAACTCTTATGCGTGGCCTGTCTCTCACCCACCACGCCTCCTTCTCATTGCCTAACTAAACTTTTCCATTTATTTATTTTCCTAAATTTAAATATATATATATATATATGGAAAAGATGAAAATGAAGTAAAAATAGGAACTCTCAAAATGAAATACTTATCAAGAGGTTACAATAACTTGCTTACATTGTCAATAAAAATGTGCAAGGTGTCTGGGACTCGAAAACTGGACATGAAGAGAAAGAATTATCATTTATTAGTTGCAATCCTTAAACAAGGTAGCAATTCTCCCTTCGGAAGATTTGTGCTTTGCATCGAGACATTAAGTATGGCTTCAATAACCTCCTTGTTGTCATATTCTGGAAGATGATGATAATTTATTACCAGAATTTATATCAAAGACTTGTCTTCTGCTCGACGCGTGGAAGTCTCTCCCTTCTCCCTGCCTCTCTCCTCCCCTCTCCGCCTCCTCTTCGTCTGTCCCGGTGTTGGGTGGCTGGCTGCCTTCTTGATTATTCTCAGGGGAAGTTCGAGATAGAGACCTTCTCTGCTTCGTTTTCCACTCACTGCAAATCTACGTCCGTGGTTAATTCTCTCTGGAGTTGCCCCTTCTCCAGCAAGGCCTCGGTGCTACGCCGGGGAGGCCGACGCCCCTTTCCCAACCCTCCCCCATCAGGATGCGCCCGGAGGCTGGGAGCTGGCGCCTCACCTCCGACGTCTTCTGCTTCCCTGAAGTTTAGAGTGGCGTTCTTTGACAAGGTCTCTGGGATTTGTTTGCTTGCTTGTTTAATTCTTCCCCGTGGATTTCCTCAAACTTTTGTCAGTTTAGCTTTAGACCTGCTCCGTATAAAAAAAAGAGAAAGGTTTGACGTTGCAGTTTTGTATTTTAGAGAAGGGAAGAAGGAGTTGGAAAACAAAACCAACAGCAATCCCTTCCCAAACTTTCCAAAACAAGTTAGCTATGAAATTAAAATATATAAAATAGCAAACTTATTTTGTGTAGTGCAGATAAAATGCCATTGCAAAGTGCCATTGCCCATTATCCCGCCTTAGGGGAGTTGCACAGAGCGGAAGCAGTAATGTCCTACCCGTCCCTTGTCCGCAGAGTCTGAAATTTAAAGAGCTTTGATTAGAATCGAAAGAGAAACAAGTAGTAAGGGAGAAAATCTGGAAGATGCGAGCATCGATCCCACTACCTCTCGCATGCTAAGCAAGCGCTCTACCATTTGAGCTAATCCATCACCACTGCTCACGGCCGTCTTATCTCTTCCCCTAGAGAAGATCAGAACATTTAAAAGTGAAACTAAAATAATCTGCTTTTCGGTTGTTGTTGTTGTTGTTGTTATGTGCCGTCGAGTCGTTTCCGACTCATAGCGACCCTATGCACAACAGCCCTAAACCCTGCTCTATCCTGCGCCAACCGGTACACTTAAAAATTTGTCTCATAGCTGAAGTCGAGTCAATTAAAAGCATTCACTTCTCCTTGGAGCCGGAATCGAACCAGCGACCTAAGGATAGCCACAAACAACTCCTACAGTCCTCCGTTCTACCACCTGAGCTATCGAAGGGAGATTCTGCAGTTCTCTCGTATTTATCTCTTAGAGACGTTGTCAAGGACTGGCGTGCTTCATTATTATTCCCAAAATTTCTGGGGACACGATCTCGCCAGAGGAGACAAAATTCCTGGGGATACAATCAGGTTGCCGACAATGCTAGCTGGGCCCACCGACGCATCTGATCTGGTCTCTGAAACCCGCGTTCATTTCTTTGTAATTCAAGACTTTGGGGAACAAGCGAAAGACGGGATTAGAAACATGCATAAGGCTGGGACCCAGGAGCTACCCCGCCGAAGGCTTAGAACTTGTCAGGGCACATCTCTGTTCCGAGGAATCCACTGACCGAAATAGACAGCAAGGACAAGAACTCCTGTCACATTAATATGTTCACGTTCAAGTGTTATCACAGATAACAAAAAGCCTCCTTCTAGCCGGAATCGAACCAGCGACCTAAGGATATCTTCTGCTACAGAACTAGCTACAGCCCTCCGCTTTACCAGCTGAGCTATCGAGAGGACAGGCATTCATCGTACGCCCCCTGGGATTCAACGCGTAAGAACCAGAATGCTTTCGTGCGCTAGGGATACATTTGAGCATGCGCAGAATCTCTGCGAAGGTAGGGGGTGGGGTTGAAGGGTGTGTGTCTTTGGGTGAGTGCTGATTACGCGTGCGCAGAAACACGCACCACCCCTCTTCCCCTTTACCAATGCTTGACCTTTCCTGGCCGGGGCAGTCCTAACTGCTTGTGGAAAAAGGGTTCAGACTTTGGCTCAGAGGCCCTGTTCATTTCAGATTTTGTTTGTGTAGTCTAGTTTGCTACTATCAGTTATGAGATTACCTCTTAGTCAACTTCTTTGTGGGGGACCAGTGGCGCAATGGATAACAGATCCGAAGATTGTAGGTTCGACTCCTGTCTGGCTCGAGCTTTGCCACCTTAGAAATTGAGAGTCAATATTTTTTATCATCGCTTTGGTAAAGCGCAAAAGTCAAAAGTAATTCAAAATCTACAATAACTGTCCACACTTCTTGGTCAGGACGTCTTCGTACCACCTCTGCCCACCCCTATCCTGTGGTACTGTCCACCCTTGCCCCTCTTAACTTCTCAGGTGGGGATCTCTAGGGTGTCCGGGTCTTTGCCCCAGAGGCTGCAGGGGAAACCTAAGGAAGTTGGGAAGCCTCTTTGCGATTACTTACAAAAGAAACGGGAAAACCAAGGTAGGAATACACAAAGTGTTGCCTGCAACTTCTATAGAAACATCTCTCTAAACTCCCCAAACTGACGCTGGCACTGTTCGATTTGATGTTTTATGCTTTTACAATCTATCAGCACAAACTAGAGAAAACTGGTTTCGAGAACCCCACTGCCCAATCCTGGATAATTTAGATGAAAGACATGTGAGTTTATTTATAATTCTTTCTTCTTTCAGGCACACTTTTCTACCTCCCAGAAATGTGAGATGATTTTTAATGACTTTTAAATCGAGTTGTTTTATCTTTAAACAAATGTGTTCATCCTCAGATAAACCTATAATTCCTTTTCATTGTTTTTATGATGTTATAGTTTATTATAGTTACAGATTATTTGTTAATGACCTGGTGTCAATATTTTACCGATTTACTGAGCCGCTCGATTCTTAACTGCATCAAACCCATTTAACAGCTTGAGGTAAGCCCTCAAATCCTTAACGAAAGGAATACATGTATAATGTTTTGAGCAAAAGGAGTTTTTGTTTCTACATTATTAAGCTTAATTATGGAGGTGTTTGGAATTCATTCTTAAATCTCAGCGAGTAATGTTGAAATTCCAAGTAGTAGAGAGCTTTCATAAAACAAGCAGTTAAGAAACAGACATTGGAAAGCACCTTTGCAAAATCCACGCAAGCATGTCTAAAAAAGAAACTAATTACTGGGGGCTAGGGAGTAAGGGTAGCAAGCATAGACTATTGGAAGTAAAAAAAAAGATGGCTTTTATTTTTGCTTCCTACTGAACGTTTGACTATTTGTACACAGAACAAACGATAGATCTTTAAAGTTATAAAAAATCTTCAAGGTGTTTCTAAGAGCTTAAAAAAATATCCCAGCAAGAGGTTGATGATGTTGCCTCTTCGATTGGGTTTATGTGGAGAGAACCAGGTAAGTCAGACTAAGACACAGCTTCCATCTTATTCCTATTTTCCTATTCCCTAAAGGTGGCGAGTAAGACCTTCATAACAGCAGAAGTCACCTCCATGACTTCATGCTTGCAGCAGCTTCAGCCCCTGGGCACTGGCATCCCTTCCCACCCAACAGTCTGATAGGGCCAAAGTGTAAGTGACTTTAATTACTTAAAAGTGAGAGAAGTTCATCTGCACTGGTTGGAGTAAGCAAGAGAGTTAGTTACTATAAAGTTACAGGAGTGTCCCAAGAAAACTAGGTCTTAAACTGTTTTCTAGCATGTACATGTGGTGCTGCCTGGTCCTAACACACCCTAAAAGTTCTTCAACTTAAAAAAAGTTCTTTACTCCCTTAAAGCCTGTCTCTTAGGTACCCATTTTTCCTTTTAAACTGTTTCAAGCCAAAGTCTTTTTTGTTAGGAAGTTTTTGTCCATAGCCTGTTTTTTTCGGTAATGCAATGTATTCTGGGTCATTGAATCTTCTTTAAATATGCATTTTGATAAATATTACGTGTCACACATGTTTCACAGGACTCTGGTGGTAGAATTGGTGGGTGGAGGCATGAAAAAAATGGTCTTATTGCAGCAATTTTATTTTACTTCATGAAGCCTCCTAAATCACAGCGTAACACATAAAAGGCATCCTGCAATGGCTGCCCATACAATTGTTTGCATTTCTATCTTGCTTGTGCATCATTCTCTAATTTGCCTACTAGATCCTTTGACAGGTAAATGCTTCCCGGCCTATTGGAACCTAAAGTTACTTGGCACCAAACTTACTCCCAGTTTCTTCTTCACAAAAAAGGAGAGTAGTCTGTTTTTTATTTTCTGGCTCATGGTATGCTGCCTACTGAGATTCAATCTAAAGAAAACTTAATCACATGTTCCCTACTATTTGTTACAGTTCCATGTTGTAAACCTCTCTGCAATGTCAAGGTCAATAAGAAAATACAGCAATCATTTGCCACCATTGGAGACAGCAGCTTCCAATTAGAGAACATTGGCAAAATGGCCACAGGTTTATTGCCTTTCCACTCACTGTATTGGCAACACACAGTCTCTCACATGAAACATAAATTCTCAGTGATCTGATTTCTCTTTCTTCTTCATCATTTCTGGAAATGGCTTTCAATTCACTTCCCTGTGCCTACAGTATACGGAAGGTATATGGAAGTCTTCAATCAGTCATTTGTTCAAGCTGCAGGATGTGAAAAAATTGTTGAAGGCAATGAGTCTGTGAGAATGTTTGCATAAATGACCTCTTCCAAGTACAATACTGTCACTGAGGGAGAGACATGAGTCATTGTCTACATATTTTTTTTTCCAGAATAGATATAAATTTGACTTACAAAGTCACTTGTGAGTCAGCCAACCACAAACTTCGTATTTGAACTTGATGGGCCTCATTGGCATGTACTATTTTATTAATGAATGACCCTTGATTGCCACTGTGTGCTTTCCTCAATGGCTGGAACACTTGAGGGAAGGTACAACTCTTCTAGGCAGTTACTGAGAGCATTGGTAAATTGGCATAATTTGTGCATATGTACATCTTTTGAATTGTCTTTACAGAGTATGTTCTTGTTCTCAGTCAGTTTCTGGAATCTTGTTTTATTAATAAGTTCTGAAACAGAAATATCACCAAGATGTGGTCACTAGGTCAATGAGCTATGAGCTCCAGCAAGATGTGTATACTCATTAGCATGTGTATAGCAATGGATGTCTTCATTTCCTTTATGGTTGTTGGCTGTCAGTTTTTAGTTGGCATGCAAATCTGCTGACTCACATAAAGATTTTGTTTTGTCTTTTATAATTTCAAAAATGTCTTCCATAAACACAGACCAAAAACTTACCTACACTGTATCTTTATTTGTCAAATCCAGGTCAACTGCTACATTGCTGAATTGAGGAGTTATACCCTTCCATTTTCTTTACATTTGTCTAGGTATTATCCTCTAGCTCAGCTCTTTCTTCTGCTTCATTGATAACTTCATCAACATCTAATACTATGTCAGTGTGGTTGTTGCTATCATCAAAATGAGCTTTTATATTTCCCAAGATGATGAGTAAGCTCACCTAAGGCATTTTTGTCCATCTCTCATCCTGGCAGCCTGTGGTGGAATCGAGCCTAGGGGTACTACCTTTGGATTGACAGCTCATCTCTTTACTGACTTTGTCACTAGAGATCCCTTGTGGGGGAGGAGGGGCAGGAGCATGATCAGACATTATAATGAATTATGGTACTTAACGTATGGTTTGTCAATCTTCCCTTGAAAGAACATTTTTTATAAAGAGTATGACTAAGAGAATCCCAGAAGATGCCGCTAAGCTACCAGGGCTCCCTAGAAAGATGCAAAACTGTTTTTTGTGGGTTTGGTTTTTTTTTTAATTTTTCTTCTGATATTGCTGCATATCCTCAGGAATATCCTGGAAATATTGCAGCAATAAAAACCAAACAAGGTGATATTAAAAGAGAACAATAGATTCCTGAAAACTATTAAAGTTAATAGTTAAAACTGTTAAAGTTAAGAATACCACACTAGTCATGGTTAATGATCAGATTTGGAGAGATAGAAGACAGAGAATTGAGACATAACCTAGGATAACAGAATATAAAGAGTAAAAATATGAAAACAAAAGCATATTGGATAGGTCCAGAAGGCACAATGACTATCTAACCATAGTTCTTAACTAGGTACTCAGAGACAACACAGGAGAAATGGTAATAAGACACAGAAAAAAAGATATCAGTCACCACATTGAGAGGGCCTTCTAGTGCCGAGTGCAATGACAAATAGCACCCTGACCACAGTCTGGTGAAATTAATAGAAAAGCCTCAAAACTTTAGAGACAAAAAGA